GGGGCAAGGGAGTTGAGGGTTGTAGGGAGGTGATTGTTTAGCAGCTTGATGGCTGCATCAGGATCCCTGCAGGTGAAAGTCAGAGGGAGAAGAGATCTAAGGAAAGAGGATATTTGTGAGGGACTTAGGTGGAAGCTTTTTCCAAGGTTAGAAAAAGAAGATGGAGGGCTTGGAAGAGAGGAGGTGGATGTGAGAGGAAAGGAAGATGAGGAAATAGTTTGTGATGGATAGATCGGAGATGTCAAGGCCATGAGTGATAACGAGGTCGAGGGGTGGCTACAGCTGTGGATCGGGGAGTTTATATTGAGGATGAGGTTTAGTGTGGAGGGCAGTGTAGTCAGAGGAATTGGTACAAGAGGAGTTCAGGTGGGGGCTGAAATCGCCCATTATTTTCACAGGTTCAGGGCAGAGGCAGAGGGATGAGAGGAGGGAGGGGATGTTATGGATGAAGCAACCATACCAACTAAAACAGTTTGAGGTTTGAAAAGCTGGTTTGCTCTTACGTTCAAGCCATATGAAAAATGTTGAGATGTACAATGTCAGACACTCTTCAAAATAAATACTGATAAGTTTCAAGCCTCCACATTGTAAATAATTGAACTCTGAATCAAGAGAATAACTTTAATAAATGGTAACAATAATGTTTGGGCAGATATGCTGTTTTTTTTCCATAAGCTGCTTGTTGACTACAGTACTATATTTACAATCCAATTTACATTTTTATAGCATCTTTTGCATTAGGAGGACATTGTGCTTGGACTAGTATTAGTAATACAACTGTAGGATGACTCAGAAGACAGAGAGGGTGGTCATTGAGGGGACCCACAACCAACTTGCTTCCCTGCTGGATCTGCCGAAGGAGCTAGTAGGAACCCTTGAGCAATAACTTGCTGGTTGCAGCTTGGAGCAGAGGAAAGTGGTAGAGAATGGGTCAGACTGGGACTTTCACACAGTCACTCCCCAAGAATCCCAATGTGACCATAATTGGTCAAGTGTCACCTTATCTTACTGCTCTCCAAGGGTCAGGAGTCATTCCCTCTCTTTGTCATGACATTGTGAGGACTCCTGGGAGGGTAGCCAATGGGGGCCAAGAAAAATCTCCTGGCTGCAAGTTGGCAGCAGAAGCTCTATGGTATCAATACTGAAACTAGATCAAGTACCAATGTGCCAGAAGGTTGTGAGTTCAAGCATATGTTGGGACTTTGAATTCACAGTTTGGGCTGACATTCCAAATCTGTGCTGGGGTCTGCTGTCTTGTTATATTAAGAAAAGTTAATAGCAACAGCAATAAAATATTTCCCATCTTTACATTCCTCTTATTGGCTTGACACACAAGCCTACTATGGCTGAAGAATAAAGAACACTGGTGTTCCAAGAGGTAAAGAGCTCAATAAATAATGTGAAATGAGGATGGAAGGACAAAAAGAGTATACAAGTTTGATTATGGAGCAGAAATTCTGACAGTATAGAATGAATATTACACTAGTCTGAAAATACTGTCCATAATACTCTACAATACTAAATTTGCACCATATTATCAGGAATCTGATAGAAGACATCACCAACATCACCATTGATTAACAGGTATTTTTCTATGAAAACAAAGAGAAACAGTAAAACAATTTGCATTTACTATATAAATCATGAATTTACATTCAGTGTAAATGAACAATTGAATTACATTTGTTACTGTAATTACAATATATTGTAATATATTGCATAGATTATTATTAGATTAAATGTTCTCAGCAACTATGGAAATTCTTCCCTTTAATTTGGGACATCAATATAACCATAAGGCCTCAGTAGATTTACAGTATGGCATTGTGATGTGACTGCAATAATGAATTAACAACCATTGTTTTTCTTGTTCTAATATTTTTCAATGAGTTGTACCCAAAATTAGGGCAACAGCTACTATGATTCTGGAATAGGAATATAAGTACTAAAAAGTGATGTTAAGTTTTGTCAAACTCCAACTCTGAAAACTTCTGCTGGTGAATTAAGGACTCCTGCCCAGTTAGCATAGCCATACAGATCAAGCATTTGAAGATCTCAAACATAGAAGGGACTTGTTGTGTTGCTGTAATGATAGTGTTGACATAATGCAGTACAAATATAATGCTAAGCTTTTGAAGATACAATGGGGCAGAGTTCAAAATAACATAAGAGGTTCAGATGAAGTAAAGCCATTTCCCCGTATGATATCATCCTTCCAGAATACTGACCCTGTTGTTGCCCTTTTTTTAGCATCAAACTATTTCTCAAACAAGTCTAGCATTCTAGCATTGATCAGCTTCCCTGGGAACCCATTGAACAATTAATTCCCCTCTGTGTAAAGAAATATTTCCTGGTGTCTGGTCCTGAAATTACCTTTCGCACTTATGAATCTGTGCCCTTTTGACCTGTTGCTCTACTTACTCAATTCTGTCTTTTATATCTCTATTAAGGGATACAGTTTCTGAACTACATAGAGTCATAGAATTATACAGCACAGAAGGAGGCCATTTGGCCTATTTGGCCATTTGCCGGCTCTTTGAAAAAAGCTATCCAATTCAATCCCACTCCCCTGCTCTTTCCCCATAGCCCTGCAAACTTGTCCTCCCCAAATAATTGTCTACTTCTCTCTTAAAAGTTGTTATTGAATCGGCTTCCACCGCCCTTTCAGGCAATGTATTCCAGATCCGAACAACTCGCTGTGTGAAAAAATTTCTCCTCACCTCCCCTCTGTTTCTTTTAACAACTATTTTAAATTGGTGGCCTCAGGTTACCAACCCACCCGCCAGTGGTAATAGGTTGTCCTTGTTCATCCTATCAAATCCCCTCATAATTTTGAAAACTTCTATTAAGTCTCCTCTTAACCTTCTCTGCTCCAAGGAGAATAATCCTAGCTTCTCTAGCCTCTCCTGATAACTGTAGTCCCTCATTCCTGGTACCATCCTGGTAAATCTCCTTTGCACCCTCTCCAATGCCTTGACATCCTTCCTAAAGTGTGGTGCCCAGAACTGAACACAGTACTCTAGCTGAGGCCTAACCAGTGTTTTATAAAGGGATTATCATGACATCATAACTTCTAAGATAGCCAAACATTCCTTGCTCCCACCCATCGCTTTAAAAAGAAGAATTACTACAAGAGAACCTCAGGACTAATTTCTCTGACAGGGCAAAAGTGGAGAACTCCATGACGCTGGAAAACATGTACCTCACAGTTGGGATCAAAAAGAACATGTTGCTTTATCTGACAAAGTTTGCAAATGTTTCAGATCACAGTTCCCAAAATAAACTCTTTGATTCAGGGACTGCTAAATATTTTAATAGTAAGTGCCTAAGCATGGCATCAGTAACAATATACCAGTTCTATCCTGCACAATGTTCAATTTATTAAATTATAATGATGCATTTTTGCCTTTAAATAACTGATTTATTTTCTTTCACAGAAGCAGGGCATAAACTGTCTAATTATACTCATCTGTATTACTTAGCTGGCGTGTCCCTGAAATACATTGCCTGCCAGTCAGTTTCATGACCTGTATGCTGTGTAGACCAATCCATTGTAACTGTTTTCTTATTATGTTAAAACCTTTTTACCCTATGTCAATACTATGCCTGTGCTTCCGCTTCTTCAATTATAATTGGTATATTTTTCTTGAAATATAGCTAACCTCAATGCAATAGAGATTTTTACTCCACATAAAAGTGGATCTGTTATTTAGGAAGGCATAGTCACCCATGCATTTGATATTGGGTTTTATGATGCCAAAGCATCTTAAAGAGTTTTCCATAAAATGTAATGACTGTGCATTTCTAGGCAAAGCATGGCAGCAGATTTGCATAGAGCGATATTCCAAATATACCGATGAAGTGAATAATAAGGCTAATTTTTTTAATCTCAGGGATTGTTAGCCAAGTCTCTGGGAGAAACTCCCTTCTCTTTTTGATTAATGCCATGGAATCTTTATCATCCACTTAACAGGCAGAGGAGACTTCAATGTAATTCGAAGGGCAGCACCTCTGGTAATACAATACTCCACCAGCACTGCATTGAAGTGCCAGGCTAGACTATGAGCTCAAAGACCCAACATTGAGCTTTAATCCACAACCTTTTGACACTGAGGAGAGTGTGCTTCCAACTAAAAGTTAGGGGTGATGTAGGCCGTCAAATAATTAAATTAAATTTGCCCACAAAATACACAGTCAGTCCATTTTACAATATATTCTGTAAAGTGCTTTAAGACGTCTCAACAATGTGATAAGACGCTATATCAAATGCAAGGATTATTATTATTAAATATTAATTTTAATTTGAGGGATTTCAATAAATTATATAGTACATTTAAATGTCACTACCTATTATTAACTGCTCACAGAAGGATGGATTGGATTTATTGTAAATTACTTGATTATAATGGAACATAGGAATGGGAGAGGTCATTCAGCCCATCAAACTTGTTCCACTAGTTTGTTAGAGCGTGCCAGATCTCTTAATCCCATTTCCTATCTTTTCTCCATTCCCTTTATTATTTTTACTTTCCATATATCTTTCTGTCTCTTTTTAAAACATTCCCAATTGATTCTGCCTCTGTGACCTTCTGGTGCCCTTCTGTGTGAATAATTGTTTTCTGACCTCACTTCAAAACATTTTAGATCTTAATTTTATCAGAGGAATGAGTTGTCCACTGTTCAGGTGATCAATTCCCTTCATGAGTTCAAATAATTCAATCACAATTTCCCTTAACTTCCTCAAATCTAAGGAATATAGCCCAAGTCTACTCATCCAAATCCTAACCAATCCCATCATCCCTGGTAGCAATAGAATCAAATGTTACTGAATGATGTCCAAGGCTAATGTATCCTCTTTAAGATTGGATGCTCACAACTGGAGCAACATTCTCTTTTATATTTTATATTCCTTGTTTTAATGCCTTGTTTAATTTTAATAGTTTAAAGACTTGGACTCCTAGATCAAATGCTCCATCATTTAATGCATATTCCTACCTGTTATTCTTGCTAGTAATCTCATACAAGGCATTTTAAGGCCTTCTGAAAATTCATATAATGATATTCATCAATCCTCTTTTATTTCGTACATCTGTGGGTCTGGCAAAAAACTCTGTGGTTCGGTCAAATATATCTATTAGGTTTGCCAGGCGTGATCTACATTTTACAAACCATGCTGATTCTCCCTTCTTTGTGCAAATTTATCCAGATGCTCAGTTAGTATGTCCCTGATGATCGGTTCCAGTAATTTGCCACCTATTATACTCACAGGTCTGTAGATAGTAGATTTGTCCCTTCTTTCTTTCGTGGCATCACATTTGCTGTTTTCCAATTTTCTGGTATAATTCCCATATCTAGCAATCTTTGGGAATCATAAATAAAGTACAATTTATTCACTTACTTTAATATCCTGGGGTTCAAATCATCTGGGCCTGGAGATTTGCCTGACTTCATTCCCATTAGTTTACCCATTACAATTTTTCTGTTTCTATAAAGGCCTATAATATAACCTCTTCCTGGTACCTCTGGTATCAAATTCTACTTCTTCAATTTGAAGACTGAACCAAAATATTTATTTAACTGTACTGCACTTGTGCTACATATACAGTATTTATATTCATATATTATATATAAAGTATGTATCAAAGTCTATTTCACTTTAGAAGGACATTCAACTTGAAAGATTCTTACAAAGATATTGTCAGCTAATTAAAAGTAGACTGAATAATGCCATTAATATAATTGTACCTCAAATGTTTAAGTCTGTTACAAAGCAAAGTGGGCAGACACAAATGCACAGGGATATAAACATGCTTCCCAAAATGATCACAAACATTTCAAGAATGTTAACAATAGCAGTAACCTTACAACAATCTATTACCATAAGTTGTATACAATGTTCTGTAAATCTGCATCAGTTCTCATGATCAGAAAGGTGACATTTCATTTTCATGAATGACTGAGCGGTGATCTTTTAGGTGTAATCTTTGCAATCTTTACACCTTCAGAAAGCAATGTCTCTGAAGCTTTTGGACTGTGAAAGCAGTTGTAACTCAAATTGAAGAGACATTAGCCATGAAGAGGAGGGTCACTTGAGGTAGTATATATTCCTGGTAAACATCAAGTTGCAAAGGTGGAGAAGGGTCCCTCTACCAAGAAGGCAGTGATGTTTGCTAAAGCTATCTCCAAGCTGGTTGGATTTGCTTGCTGCCCCCTGCCTCTTTCTGTGGAAGTTTGCCCATTTAGAATGCCATTGTTGAAAGTGTCTGCTCTACCCCTGGTTGTAGGGAAAGTGCCATTGCTTTGAACACTAGGCATTGCCACAGGAATAGTTGAGGGGCAGGAAACAGTGTGAATCATCAGGGATGAACAACAACAACAAAATTACATTTGTAAACACCTTTCAGGTCAGGAGGAAGTCTCAAGGCGCTGAATGGTCGGGGATCAGGTCTCGAGTGTGGGGGGGGGCAGGGTTGGGATGAGGTGGGCAGAGAGCTAGGAGGGCGGCTGAAGGCATGTTTGAAAAGGAGGGTCTTGAGTCGTGCCTTGAAGGAGGGAGGAAGCAAGAGGAAGGGATTGTGGGATGGAGTTCCAAAGAACTGGGGCAGAGAGGCTGAGAGCTCAGATGCCGATGGTAGGGCGGATCGGGCGGGAGACCTGGATCAGGCTGGAGCTGCTGAACGGAGGGAGAGGATAGGTTAACAGGGGGTCAGCAGGTCAGAGATGTAGGAGGGGGTAAGGCCGTGGAGGGCCTTGAAAGTGAGGATGAGGATTTTGAATTCTATCCTGAGGGATGGGAAGCCAGTGGAGCCGGGCGAGGTTGAGGGTGATGGGGTCCCAGAACCCGATGCGGGAGAGGACACGAGCTGCAGAGTTCTGGATGATCTGCAACTTGCAGAGGGAAGTGTTGCGGAGGCTGACAAGGAGGGAGTTTCCATAGTCGAGCCTTGAAACAAACAAAAAAGCATTCTTTTGTAAATCTTTTAGAGGTTTTATGTTTAGGCAATTTGAAGAGCTGCTTTATGTTGAACAGTGTCTGCTGTTTTTTCCTGATGGTTTCTCAATGCAGCTATTTTTCATAATGGCTTCTTTCAGACGTTGAGTGTTTGAAGAGTCACCACATCCCCAGCCTGCCCTCTCCCCGAGTAGAATATCTAGTAAATGTGAACTGGTATGCTGTATATGTCCTAAATGTTAAAATTATTGTGTAGAGAAACTCTTTCTATAGCAGCATGGCGAAGGAAGTGGGACTTCTTCATGGCAAAGCATTCTGAAGATCAGCAAAGCAAATGGAGGAGCAGACCTCCCATGGTGCTAATGGATGAGGAACTATTTTGCCTAAGAGCCATTTATTTATGATTAAAGGCAACAATAGAACTATAAAACATGTGAGGATATCTAATAGCTAAAAATAAAGTTTCCCTTAAAGGACAAGTTACCCTACCTACCTGCTGTGCAATTCACCGTGATTGTCCCTTCTATAGTGAACTGCAGCATGTTTACAGACACATATAGCAGACGTAAATCAGCACAAGTCGTAAAGCAATCTTAAATTGTGGACTTTACAGAATAAACTAACAGTGGTATGAACCTCAACTCTTAACGAGGGTCAATAAAGTTTTTAGGTTGATAATATAGAAATGTTTATACCAGAAAATATGGTTCACAGAATTTCTCTTGGATCTTCAGACAAACTTGTGATATTTTACCCACCAAACTCTGTCATTAATGTTAATGTTTGGAAGGCAATTTGTGCTTGTTATCCATAATACTCACTTTATGTGGTGTGTAATCACAATTTGCATAGATTGGGTCATCATTGTATGGTATTTGCTTATTTTCTGTTAAGAAAAACAAAATACAGTACTCATAAATCAATTTGTGAAAACATCTTCCTTGCACTTGATATAATGTCTTGCAATAATCCTTCCATTTATTATAGCACCTTATCATATTGCCGAAACATCTCAATCTTCAAAGTCTATGTGCACATTCCCTTGACATCCAATTTTCCATTCATACAGAATTTTATGATGCAGGGTAACTCCTGGTTCTAATTCTCCATGGTACAGACATGACTTTGGATCCTGTTACTCCATTTTGTATTGCATTGTTACAGAATGCAAAATATCTTTGTGGCTATATTATAATAATAATCTTTGCATTTGCTAGAGTTATCATGTCGTTGAGACACCTCAAATCGCTTTTTCTTATTACATTTTAAGTGCTTAAAGAGACCTGGAAGCAAATTAATGTGAGGAGACAAAGCAATAATGAATGTACTTACTTGGCAATGTTTTTTTCTTGACTTTCCATATCACCATAGCAAGTATCACAGCTACAGCTACAGCTCCAGCAATTGATACTGTTTTGAATTGTATAGATTAATACATCTTACATGAAGACAGTATAGAGTAATAGATGATACAGTATATAGGAGCAGGATAGTGTAACACATAATGTATAGGGATAGAATAGAGTAATATGTAATGTACAGAGCCGCGATAGAGTAATAGATGATGCAAAGAGGCAATAGATAATGCATAGAGGCACTATACTGTAATAATTAATGATTGTAAATTGCAAGTACTGTTTTTATTATTTACTGAATATGGGTGAGGGGACTGGAGGCTGTATTAGCAGTGATAATTAACGAAATGCAGTTAAAACATACCTTTGCAACCTACTTTTAACATCAAGTTTGGACTGAACACCACATCCCCCACTTCTAGGGAATGTTTTCAGAATCTTAAAGTGCTTCTGTTATAATATTGTAATACACAGTTTTTCTTTCCATTTTGTTACCAACAAAAAGGAGGTATTTGTGTCAGGCATCAGAGTAATACATTTTAATTTTATTTTCAATCTCATTTCTAAGACAATTTTTTGAGTAATTTAACAGTGTTTCATAGCCTTTCAATGTATTACAGTAATTATCAAAACATGCCAATTATGGTCAATGAAAATTATCACAGATCGAGTCTGCAATCATTTGTGTTCAAGGATAAGTGACGACTTTGGGCAGAACAGCTCTCCTTCCAATTCCAGAAAATAGTTTTTCCCATCAGCTTTTCATCTGCTCATTTGCTTTTAAATTTCAAATGTAACAGCAAGATTTAAATTTTAAACTCTTTAATTGTTAAGGTTTTATAGTTTGAGAAATAAATGCCATGGAAAGGAGCTTAAGTTAACAGTTTAGTTGTTCAGTGTATATTTAATATCATTCCTTAACATTGGGGTAACATTTGCAGGGTTCCTTATTCAATGTTGATGTAAACTATCAGGGGGCAGGACTCAGTTCAAACTAAGCAGTTTCTTCCTTTTCAGAATCTAGTTTTAATTTTATTTTGTTAGATTATTTTCCAGATTATTTGATTTGCCGAGGATGTCTGAAATCCGATAAAATTAACCTTTAGTGTTCCAATGGGCTGGGCTCGAAACCTCTACGCCCTTTGTTAACAGTTTTTGGCTGAGGAGAGTGTGAATTTCAGCTTGTTGAAAAATAAATATCTCACAAAAACATTAACTTAGAACACAATGCTCTTTTCTTGTACCCTAGAAAAAGCATTCACCATGGATTAAAAAGAAATAAGGCTTGAAAAACAGGCATTCACTTGTCTGAAGGGTTGGGGTGTTACCTCGCAGGTGCCACAAATTTTACCCTTCTTATTCATAAGGTGTGGACATTAAGATGCATGGTATCAATACACCAGAGTTCGTATGAGTGACTTAGTGGACATTTAAATAAGTAAAAATTTAAATTGTATTTAAAATATTATCACCTGAGAGGTAGGTTATTAAAGATGTCATATGAAGATGATTCCATATATCTTTATCATCTAGTGATTAAAAGGAAAGTTAACAACAAACAATTTTTAAGGTAATTTTTAAAGCTCTCTGGGATACTATCCCGCTCAAAGGGCTCTATACAAATGCAAGATGTTGTTCTAGTTGTTTAGATTTCTTATTTTGGATGAATAATTTAGTGAACATTTAAATTAAATTCAAATTGCATTTAAAATATTACCACCTGAGAGGTAAGCTATTAAAGATGTCATATGAAGATCATTCAACTTATTTTTGTCATCATCTATTGACTAAAAAGAAAGTTAACCATAAAAATTTTCAAGGCTGAGTAGATTCTTATGCAATTAACAACAATAAACAACAACAACTTGCACTTATATAGCGCCCTCCACACAATGTAGAGTCTCAGAGCACTTAAAGCTGGGGGGAGGGGAGAGTTGGCAGCAGGCATAGTCGAAGAGGAAAGTTTCAGGTGGGATTTGAAAAAGGGGAGAAAGGACAAGGTGGAGGGATTGGGGGAGAGTGTTCCAGAGTTTCGGAGCATAGTGACTGAAAGCGCGACCTCCAATGGTGGGGCGGAGGGTGCGAGGGATGAGCAGGAGGCACTAGGTGGTGGATTGGGGTTTGAGGAGGTTGGAGATATAATAATAATAATAATAATCTTTGCATTTGATATAGCGCTTTTCACATCTTCTAGACGTCCCAAAGCGCTTCACAGAATATACTGTAAAGTGAATTGACTGTATATTTGTGGGCGAACGCGGCAGCCAATTGCGCTCAGCAATGTCCCACAAACAGTCATGGATTGAAAATGACCAATTTATTATTGTTTTTTTTGGAGGGATTATTATTAGGCGTGTGGAGTAAGGAAACTTGCCCAAGGTTTCGCCCTGCCTGGAATTGAACTCAGGTCTCTCACTTGCAAAGCGAGTGCTCTAACCACTGAGCTACAGGTAGGGAGTGAATGGATTTGAACACAAGAATGAGGATCTTGAAGTCAATCCATTTGGTGATGGAGAGCCAGTAGAGCCTGGCCAGAACTGGTGAAATGTGGGTATGGAGTTTGGTCCAAGTCAGCATGCAGGCAGCAGAGTTTTGAATTCACCTTGTGAATGTGGAGCTAGTGAGACCGGTGAGGAGTGTGTTGGATTATTCCAGGTGGGAGGTGACAAATGCATACACAACGATTTCGGCTGCAAGGTACAGTTGGAGGCGAGCAATGGGTGGAGGTGGAAGAAAGTGGTACTGGTCAGGACTGGATGTGGGGGAGGAAGGACAGTTGAGGGTCGAACCGGACGTCTAGGTTGCGCACTGGTTAGTGAGTCTGAGGGAGAGCTCAGGGAAGTTGAGGAGTTTAAATCCGTAGGAATGAAGACGTTGATGGCTTCCGTCTTGTCAATATTCAGCTGCAGGAAGTTTGTACTCATCCAAGCCTTGATGTCTACCAGACAAGCTGATAGAACATCGGCAGACCTGGAGTTGGTACTGGACGAGGCAAAGTAGATTTGTGTGTCGTCCGCATACATGGGGAAGTTTATCCCATGTCTGCGGATGACATCACCCAGTGGAAGCATATAAATAAGGAAAAGAAGAGGGGCAAGGATGGAGCCCTGGGGTAACCTGTAGCTCACTGGGCGGGGCAGAAGGAGAAACCATTTGCTGAGATGAAATGGAGGCAGTTGGTTAAGTAGGATTCAAACCATGTGAGTGTGGTCCCACTAAAGCAGATGAGGGAGGAGAAGCCGTGGAAGAGGATGACGTGGTCGACAGTGTCGAATGCGGCAGAGAGATCCAGGAGGACGAGGAGGCAGAGGGAGCCCTGGTCACAGATATAGACAATGTCATTTGTGACTTTGACAAGCGCTGTCTCTGTGCTGTGGAAAACCAGACTGCAGGGAATCGAGGAAGAGGTGGAGGGAGAGGTGCGATTGAAGTTGACCTGCAACAATGCGTTCCAGGACTTTGGCAAGGAAGGGTAGGTTGGAGATGGGACAGTAGTGTGAGAGATTGGAGGGGTTGAGGGTGTGTTCTTTGAAGAGGGGTGTGATGGCATTGGCTTTCAGGGGCAGTGGAACGGAGCCTGAGGAGAAAGACTGGTTGACTGTGCTGGCCAGCAGGGGGAGAGAAGGGGTAGTTGATGAACCTCATCCGGGTGATTGCGATTGAGAGGAAGAAGGAAGAAATGAGGGCAAAGGAGTGTAAGGAGAGGGGAGTGGCAGAAGCCGTGATAGAGGGAGAAGGCTGTGTGGATGGTCTGGGTGGGATGGAAGGGGACATGGTGGGGGTGGAGGACAATGCAGCCAAGCGGATATTTTCAATTTTTGAGGGAAAGAAGTCTAGGACCTCTTTGCACTTGGTGTTTGACGTGAGAATAGAGGGGGCTTGAGGGGGTGCACAGAGGAGGTGATGGATGGTGGAAAACAGTCTTTGGATTGTTGTTTGTCTCCAGGATGACTTTGGAGTAAAAGTCAGTTTTGGCCTGTGAAAGGGAGAGGGTGTAGAAGTGCTCGAACCACAACTGGCAGTGAATCGTGAGTCCAGAATTTCTGCCATGTGCGCTCAAGCATCCGGCTTTGTGTTTTGAGTGAGCGGAGATGAATGTTGTACCAGGCGGAGCAGGTAAGTTTGGAATAGACCCTAGATTTCAGGGGAGCCAGGGAATTTAAGGTTGTGGAGAGACGGTCATTCAGCAGCTTGACAGCTGCATTAGGATGGCTGCGGGTGGAGGGCCAGAGGGAGAGGAGGTCCGAGGACTCAGGCAGAAGCTTTTTCCAGAGGCGGAAAAAAATGGTGGTGGGCTTGGAAGAGGAGAGGAGGATGTGGGAGAGAGGGAGATGGTCCGCGATACCCTGTCCGTGACTGACAGGTCGGAAATGTCAAGGCCATGCGAGATGACAAGGTCGAGGGAATGGCCATGGTTGTGGGTCAGCAAGTTGATGTGGAGAGTGAGGTTTAAGGAGGAGAGGAGGGCAGTGAAATCCGAGGAGGTGGTGCAAGGGGAGTTTAGGTGGAGGTTGAAATCACCCATTATTAGCAGGTGTTCAGTGCAGAGGGACAGGGATGAGAGGAGAGAGGAAATATCAGTGAGGAAGGAGCCAGGAGCTTTGGGGGTGGGGGGGTGCTAAACTAAGAGGATTTTAAGGGAGAGAGTGGAGGGATAGTCGAAGGTGAGGTGTTCAAAGGAGGAGAAATAGCCAGAGGAATAAGGGGATAGAACAAGGGAAGTTCGGGAGATGAGGGCCACTTTGCTGCCATGTTGGTTGGGGCATGGGGTGTGGTGAAAAGTGTAACCAGGAGGGGAGGCTTTGACGAGGGGGACGGGGTCACCAGGGGAAAGCCAGGTTTCTGTAAGCCCAAGAATATCAATGTGCTCATCCAGGATGAGGTTGTGTATAGTAAGGGCTTTGTTGGAGAGCGGATATTTTGGAAGGAAATGCTGATAGGTTTGCTGGTTGTGAGGTGGTGATGAGGAAGGTGGTATAGAGAGGATTTGGGGTGGTGGGGAAGAAGTGACCATGGAATTTGAGGAGCAGGGAGAGTTGAGGAGGGTACAGATGAGGGAGGGGAAAGGGGTGTTTGCCTTTCAAAGGCGGTTGCTGCAGAGAGAGTGAATGATGGGACAGTTGAGGTGGCTGATCTGGGACAACCAACGCCGAGAGCATCAATGGGCCTGGTGGAGGATGCCCAGATTGGAACAGAGGGAGGTAATGGTGGGGTCCACGAGGGAGAGAAGGCAAGGAGGGCGGTGGGAGACAAGGACAGAGTACGAGTAGTGGAATGTGGGGGATGGGAGCAGGAACATTTTCAGGGAGAGTGGCTCGGATCAGAGCGCAGCCAAAATGGGCACGAGCGATCAGTGGGGCAGCATCGGCCTGCGGGCTATGGGAGACAGGTGCAATGGGAGTTGAGGGGACCTGGTGGAGCAATGGAGAGGGGATGGCAGTCATAGCTTAGATGCTAGAAACCAGGAGGGAAGGGAGGACCAGGTAGCAGAAGGGTAGTAGAATATACACTATACTTACCCTAGCCTGGCAGATTTGAAAAAAAAACTAACAAGTGTCAACCTGGCACAATCACTAGCACTGTTACATCTGGCTCAGAAGGTCGTGGGTAAATGTTAGTATTTGAGTTTATAGACCAGGCTGACAGTACAGTGCTGGGGAAAAGCTGCATTGTTGAAGTGCGCCCTTTACATTCGTCAAACTGAATTCCAGTCTACCTGCTGGAGATCCAATGACACTATTTTTCTTCTTGTATACAGGCTCACAATTCACCAAAATAAAAATCATTCATTCCTGGATTGTTAGTGGACCTTGCAGTTTGTAAAATTGGCTGCTTTAGTTGCCTGCTAAAACATAGTACTTAAACAGGAATTACTGTTCCATAGAACCACAGAAATCTACAACACAGTAGGAGGGATTCAACAGTGTATTAATATTAGTTCCTTCGATAAAGTCATCTGTCCTAGTCCCAATGTTCTGCTCTTGTACCCTCGAATAACGTTCCACTTCATCTGTTTATTTACTTACTGTAGAAATCCAAAGAATTCTGCTCCAACACATACCACTGATAAATCATTCCAGACTGATAGTGCTACACTTTATTAGGTGCAAAGTGATGACCTATAATATGGAATATGAAACTTACACATTTTGAAAAATATTTGTGGCCGATTAAAAAAATGTAGCTACATATGCATACACATCGGGACCCTATAGTCGAGTTTGAATACGCTTAAGCGTGGTTTAGGGTTTTGCATGTGTCAAACACTCGGGTGACCCCAAAAATACAAAAATTATCCCCAGAAAGTTTATAAAAAAGTGCAAATATTCATTTATTTTGTTAAAGGGACAACTCTGCCATGAACTTCAATATGTAAATTTACACTGCTCAAATTAGTTTAGAATACATTTGAAATATTTTTGCAAGTGATTATATATTTTTTTACCTTTTATATCCAAATAGATTTTCTGCACTACTTTTCCTCCTGGAAAACTGTGAACTTGGCAGGAATACCAGCCTTTGTCAGATTCCTGAGCTTCTTTAATAATAATGGTGACACTGTTTTCGGTGACTTCCAATGTTGCTCTCAGTTTGTATGAAGAATTAAGTATTTTGTTCACTGGTGGATTGTAGATTGCAATCATTGTGTTGTTATCCTCCTTATTCACCTGAAATTGTACTGGTTTGTTGGAACTTTTACCAGGAGCTTCACATTGCAGGATAGCTTCATAGCCTTTCACTGCCGTTACATTCATAACACCTTCAATCTGCTGTGTTTCAAAGCCTATTTTGAAAAGAGAGAAAATGCAATTACCACGACGAACCATATAAATTCTTCTCTAGTAACCCTGGCACAATTTGTAATGCACATCTATGGGACTATTTGAAAAGGGAAGGACGTTCCTCATTTTGTCTGGCCAATAATCTCCCAAATAAAGTTTATCACTCACTCCATCACTGTTTGTGGGACAAATAGGCTGTCGTGTTTGCCTACAAAATACACACAGTCACACCAATTTACATTTACTATGAAGTGCTTTGAGATGTCTTGATGACATGATAAGGTGTTATATCAAATGCAAGAATTATTATACTATTATTATAAGATTGATTTGAATGAAGGCTCTTCAGCCCATTTGATATCTGCTGTCCTTCCATCACAATATTAAGTTACTTTTAAAATGAGTCCTGACCTCAATCACCTGTCCTGGCAACCTATTCCAGTTATTAATTACCCATGCATAAAGAAAAACTTCCTGGTATCAATCCTGAAATTGTCTTTTGCAACTCTAAACCTATGTCCTATTTTTCTTCTGTCTTGGTACATCCCAAAGTATTGTCTTGGGTTCACTTTTTCAATCCCATTTAATATTTTATACATATCTATGAGTCATTTTCTTTCAAGGCTGAGGAACCCTAGTTGTCTAATATTGATCATACCTCATTCTTCTAACACTGGAAATTATCCTAGTAGCTCTTGTCTGCACTGCCTCTCAGGCCTGGCAGCCCCTTTATATCATGGTGACCAGAAGTTATGCAGTATTCAAAGTGAGGTCTGACCTGAGGCCTGAATATGATGTCTGGGGAGCTAAACTTACTTAGCAATATAGCCCAACATCATCTTTGCCTTGTTTAGATTAGATTTCAGGTTCGACCCATAGCTGTCTTTCCTACCCCACATCTGGTTCCTGACCAGGATTTCTTTTCTTCATATTGCCCGCCTGTTTGACCCAGCCACACCCAAAACATTCGGCCATGTGTTTGTCACCTCTCATATCGATTATTCAAATGCCCTCCTCGCCGGTCTCCCCAGCTCCACCATTCTCAATTCCAGCTGATCCAAAACTTTGCCACCTGCATACATGCCTGCACTAAACTCCATACCCCCATCACACCAGTTCTAGCAAGGCTTCCTATCACCAAACAGATTGACTTCAAGATCCTCACACACGTTTTCAAATCCCTTTATGCCCTGGCACCTCCCTACCCTTCGACTTGCTACCTTTCCAACCCACAACCCGTTGCCTCCACTCGACTGGCTCTGGCCTTCCACATATCCCTCGTGCCCTCCGTTCCATCAGTGGCCACGCTTTCAGCCACTACGACTGTAACACTCTTCCTTTATCCCTCCGCCTTGCCCCTCCTTCCCATTTTCAGGTAGCACCTGAAGACCTTCCTCTTCGACCTTGCCTATGGTCACCTTCCCTCTCCTACTAGCTTGTGTTTGTGCTCCGTCATCGTTAAACGGTCTGGGATGTGACCCTGAGTGATGGGCGCTATATAAATACAGGTTGTTGTTGTTCCTGTTTATTGCTGCCTCCCACAATTTTGACTTATTAAGTGACGATCTCTTGGTCCCTCTTGGTAAGTTCTATCCTATCCATAGAGTAGTTATGTTTCCTTAAAAAAGTCTATGATATAGGTCAGACAAGACCTTCCCTTTCCGAACCCATGTTATCTATCATAGGGTCTTCCTAAAATAAAGAACTTGTAATAGTGTTTCTAAACCAGCTCTGTTATGTACAAAGTCAAATATTCTATCTCTGTGCCACTGTTAAAGATGTTTGTGTTACACCCTTGTACTTGCAGCAAGCAAGTCAGCATCTAAGACATTGGAGTTATTGCTGGTCCAAAAGAGAGTTTCTTTGCATTTTACAAATGTACATAAACTTTTTTGTTACAGTAACCAATTTAGCAATGAATGTTATACAAGACTTAACCGTCCATTCAATCTACATACAGATTTGTTACATATTTTCCATCTGCACCTTTCAATAAACATCAGCTTTCAAAAGATATGTGAAATGATACTTTTCAGAAAAAAAACTTTAAAGACTTAGCTGCTGTAACTTTAGAGACTAGAAGCAAGGAGGGTCTGTGTTATAGATGTTAGCAAAACAATCCTTTGACTTGCGTTGAACCTTCAACAAATGTACGAATACCACAAGAAAGGGGCAGATGCATATCTAAATTGTTTCTGCACATCAGTTGGCATTATCAAGTGTCTTTTTGCAGTACTATAACATAGCAGTTAGAAATGCTGCTGTTACTCATTTCAAGAACTGTACTAATTAAATTATCAAAACTGCATTTATTTTGCTCATCCATGTATCTGACACATGGGGCAGTCCATCATGATGATTAATAGTCTCCAAACAAAACTACTGACAATTCCACATATGTACGGTTTCCATTTGACTGGCACATATTGCGTAATTTCTCGTTCTTGCTTCTTTTGAAAATAATCTGTCTACACGTAATCCACAATATCTTTCAATAGTTAAATAAATTAGCTTTGGGTCAATTGTTGAATTCAGTCCAAACTTTGAAGTGGTTTTCTCAAGAATTTATAGAAAACTGGACTCAGAGTAGACTGTATTTAAGTACTGTAGTTGACAAATTCTGAACTCTCTGAATGGTACATTAATCTACTTAAAAATCTAGACCCTAGGTGGAATTTTCCCCCTGAAATAGCAAATAAAAATCCATGGAATTTTAAAAAACAATAACATTAAGGGAAAACTTCTACACTCTTTACAAAATATACATGGTATAAGTCCAAAGTATGTTACAGCAGTTAAGTGAAGTTCAAGAGTTTGTAGATATGAAAAAAATGTGTACATCTGTATTTCAGAATAAAATGTTGAAAACAAAATAGTATTAATCTTACATCTTATTATTTTATTCTGCAAAATGCTATTTGGATTTAAATGGTTTTCTTGTAGAGTAATAGGAATCGCATACTTACTAAGTCCAAAAAGCACATAGATACCAATGATCTTTAACATCTTGAGCATAGACATCATCCAAAATCTTCTATTAAAGCTGTTTTAATGAAAATGTGGGCTCCAACGATCAGCTTAGTTGAGCAATATAAGTAACAGGAACTTGCTAGTCAAACCAAAACCATCATTTGACCAAATTAGGGAAGTGGATAATGTTGTGTACAATGCTGTCACTTCGCTCCTAGTTAGAAATGAATGTCTTTTGCCTGGGATAACCAGATTCTAGCCCAAGATTACTTTGTACTTTGAATGAGACATTAAACCAAGACCCTGTCTACCTGTTCAGATGGACATTAAAGATCACATGACACTATTCAACAACAACAACAACTTGCACTTATATAGCGCCCTCCAGAGCGCTTAACAGTGGCGGAGCCTGATTCTGAGCCGGGGGTGGGGATTGGCCGTAAGCCACCTATTCGCAAAGAAAAGAAAGTTTTTCCAGGTGTCCTGGACATTCTTGTCAGTGCTGTTCTTTCCACAGATTACCTAAACCCCACCCTGCCCCAAACTATGTACTTAATGATATTTACGGTACCTTCACTGTGAAATTGCATTCTTAGTTTAACTGAACCCTCCAACTAAAAAGTTATGTGCTATCACCTGAGCCAAGCTGATAACGAGATATATGACAATTTTAGTGACCCCAGATAGAATAAATGATGTGTCAATGTCACTATTAAAGATTAACAACTGTGATACAAAATTGACAAGTGATAATATGAAGATCATTATCAGGAAACAAGTGCCTGGATATTTTATTACTCTCAACTGCCTGTTAGTTCTCATCTGCCCAGCAGTGATCTATAGTGATCGCAGTATGCTAGGTAGAAGATACAATATTTTCTTAACCACAGTTTCCTGTTTTCTGAGGTAGTGTATTCAACTTTTATCTTGTAAACTTCATAATTCAGTGCTCAGAGAAGTTGCAGAGAAATAAAGGGCGCAACTTAAATGCCAGTTGTTTTATTGAAATTGTCACCCTGATTTTGGCTATTATTTCAGAAATATCAGTAAAAAAATCGAATAAGTCAATACAATCTGTCTTGATAAGGCAAGGTATGAGAATGACAAATTTATATGTAGAGGAGAAGTGTTGACAATGTTGCAAGCTAAAATATATTGTACAGCAAATTTTAAACTGGAGCAAGTCATGTCCAATGTTTTTAGAACACTTGGTTTAGTATTTTTAAAGAAAATGGAGAAAAAATAGGTTACGTGAAGTCATTATGGGCATAAAATGTGTTTAAAACATGTCTTTAAACCCATCCTTAATGGCAAGTTTGAGAGTGGACTATTCCTAACCACCAGAGAATAGTTCCGTCATTGGAAGATTAGCTCCATATTTTGTTTCTGTAAGCAAGCAACAAGTATAAATTAAGCCGATATCTGTTGTAACATGTTTGAGAATAATGGTAGCCCCACTTAGATCAAAGTAACAAACAGGCAAGTGCAAACAAGGAGAAAATAAATATAAAGTAAGATATCATCCATATTATTAATTGAATCAATATTGTATTTCATTCACAACGCTTGTTCATTATGAACATTTTAACATTTTAAAAATTGTTAATGTAAGCAATTAGAGCTTCATATCAAAATTATACTGAGCTGATTTAATGCTACTGTTTTTTGAAGTACTGTCTGAATAAAGACTTGGAAATAGAACAAAGGGCTGTTGAATCTCTGCTGAAACACAGAATGATTCCTGACTGACACTTAAGTGGCACTTGTGTGTTCAGCAAATAAATTCACTTTTTGGTTGCTAGTGGAGCTTTAGAAAATGGATGTAAATAGATTCTGACAAGCAACAGGAAGCAATTTGACATCATAACACTGAGGCTTGCAGTCACAGACACCGGACGTTCACTCAAACTGATTCTGACGGTCAGTCAGACTTTGCTGCCTTGAAATGTGGCATTTGCAGCAACAGATATCAGGATAAAATTTGCAATCCGATGTGCAAAAAACAGAAATCGCATTTAATGTAACAAATCCAGTTTACACATTTTGAATTTTCAACCTTTTGCAGGTGTACTGGATTAAAATACAGGAACCCTAATTTTTTTCTGTCCATATTCAGCCACTACACCCTGAAACTCTGGGACACTCTTCCTCTATCCCTCTCCCTTGCCCCCATCTTCCCCATCTTCAGGTCACGCCTGGATGGTATCCTGTCACTATATAAATGCAAGTTGTTGTTATTCTTGAAGACCTTCCTCTTCGCCTGTGCCTCCCACTGGGAGACATGGAGTATTGTTCTTGCCTTACTTCTGTTCGGTTACTTAATAAATCATTCTCACTCTCAAATCATCATGAGACTGAACGATATTACGTCTAAAAGATTTATCAAAGACTCGATAGGCTTACATACAGGAGAAACTTCATACAATCAGTTAAACTGCATTAGATAGTAATACAGAACAAAAAACACAATACATGCCTGTCCTGGAAGCTGGCGGAGACTGTCTCTCGATTGTCTGCAGCTCAACTCAAGAACAAACTCTTTATCCTTTATTACATTACGCGCTACACTTGCAAGCAGTTTCATTTAATCGGCCTTCTCTCTTTCGTCTGGCATTTTTATTTGTCCTTGAAAGGCTTGATCTTCACTTCTTAGGTATCTTTATCCCTTAAGATTAAGAAAATGTGCTATTGTTAGTATCCCTTGTTCACATATTTGTACACATATCCTTTTAGTAGGACTCCTGTGGTGAGGACTCAGTGGGAGGGCTCAGTGGGAGGATTCCTGTTGGGAGGACTCCTGGTTGGAGAACTCCTGCACGGAGGATTCCTTGTTAGTCCATACATGTGTGATGAACTTGTTTAGGTCACGATAGGAGATCCCCCCTAAAATATGTTCATGACATTCCCTATACAAGACCTTTCCGATCATGTCTCTACATCAATCGGCTTTTGCGTTCTTCGCGGACGGACGGACATATTGTCTTTATCAGTATAGATAGATGACTCTTAAGTATGTAGCCTTTATGCCACATATGCATTGAAGTATTTTGTCAAGATGTGTCAAATGTCTTGTGTCTCTTTTGTTTTGCCCAAATCTTAGAAAATAAGTCAATCTTATTGTTCCTTCATTGCTCTTTACGTCTAAAATCTCTCATTCTGATAGTTACTACTTAGTTCTGCATTTTTGGACTTTGTCCACTGAGTCAATCCCATCATGCATTAAAATGGCCAATGGCAATATCATGAAGGATTCTGGATCTTTTGCAGTCCAAACTGAGTACATTATGCATGTTATTAAGACACGTGGATGACAACGGACAGAACTATTACTACAATCCTGACAGAGGGAGATCCGAATGGGAACTTCCCCAAGTAACACCCACAGTGAATGACTGCCGTGACCACATACCATATACCTGTAGCTCAATGATTAGAGCACTCGTCTCGCAAGGAGAGGACCTCGGTTCAATTCCCGAGCAGGCAAAATCTTAGGCAAGTTTCCTTACTCCACACGCCTCTGTTTACCTAGCTGTAAGTAGGAACCCAGTTGTTAATCGATTGACGGGTCGCTTTTCCGTAGGTAATAATGCTTTCAAAAAAATATATAATAGTAATTTGGTCACTCAATCCATAACTGTTTGTGGGACACTGTTTGTGTGCAATTGGCTGCCGTGTTTCGCCCACAAAATATACAGCCAATTCACTTTGCAGTATATTTTGTGAAGCACTTTGAGATGTTTCGACGATGTGATAAGGCGCTATAATAAAAGCAAGAATTATTATTAGTATTCCTGTATGTTTCCTATATTCCAACAGTTAAATTCATCTTTAAAAGTAAACACTTATCATTCTCCCAACTCACAGTAATTTTACAAACAAGGAGAGAATCATACATACTCGCCTCGCAAGTGAGAGGACCTAGAGTGCTACTTAGAGTGCCTGGTGTCACCAAACTTAGGAAAGGTTTTAGAATTATGAAAAATGTATGATGTATTATTGGTAATGAAACTATGGTGATAGCACGTTCATTTATTAAATGAAACTTCCAAAATACTGGTTCCTATTTATCGAAAGTTCCCATTATTGCCAGAGATCCCATCGATATAATCTGACATTGTAGTTTTTACATCATTCCCAGTGTGGTGCGTGTGTCTTTGCCCAATATCCCTTTTGTCCTTTCATTACGAACATTTTAAAGTTTCCTACCATGCTGGAGATATATTATTCTGAAATCGCTATCTGTGAGGTTAATACAGAAAATAGTTAGTCAATATTTCATTTTGGCTTTGCTTTACGTCTGTATTATGCTTGTGTACACATTGGTTTGGGGATTATACATGTGATATATATTACTAACCGCACACACATTGAGATGAAATGTGCGACATTTCATAACTTTCATAATTGTCACATTGAATTATTTATTAAACATCATATATTTCATCCAACAACGATGGTATTTGAAAATGTGCTACTGAACTCATTAGCATCTACTTGTTCACATATTTCCACACATATCCATTTGGGAAGCTCCTGTGTGAGGACTCAGTGGGAAGTGGGAAAACATTTTGGTATATTTCACAACTTTTTTTATACTTAACCAACCAAAGAAACAGAGAGATTTCACCATAGAAGGAGACCATTCAATCCACCGTATCTGTGCCAAAACTGCTAATGAGCATTGATTAATGTTGCCTCATGTGCACTGATTGAACACAAATGGGGATTTAGATTATTTGACTGAGATTACAACAACAACAACAAATTACATTTGTAAAGCATCTTTCATGTTGGCAGGACATCCCAAGCGCTGGCCAGTCAGGAATTGGACCCGAACAGGGGATTGGAACCATGGAGGGTAGGGGTAGGAGGTTGGCCGAATACGCGATCAAAGAGGAGGGTCTTGAGATGTGCTTCAAGGAGCCAATGGAGGGAGCAAGACAAAGGGACTGGGGATGGAGTTTCAAAAGGTGGGGGTAGAGAGGCTGAATGCTGGACCGCCAATGGTGGGGCGGGCCGGGTGGGGAAATGGAGCAGGCCAGAGCCTACTGA